GATAGGACAGAAAGTGACTTCTATACTTTTAAAATTTATGCAAAACTTAGGAGGTCTTTAGACCGAGCCAACTATATCTGTGACTGCGCGATTTATACCGACTGGGTATCTATATGAAAAAGTACAAAAAAAAATATGAGTCAAAGCAAGCCCCCTTATTTTATTATGTAAAAGTGTTATGTCACCTAATAATAAAAGAGAATCTAAGTAATATAGAATCCAAAAATAAAAAAAACTTTTTTAATTTTTTAAAACCATAGAATAATCTGAAGATTTACACCAGCCATTATCACTTATTTGAATTATATGATATATATTCGACATTTATATTGTTTTTTTTAAACAATATTATTATATATTCCTTATTATTTATTTGTGATAAGAATGTCTGCTTACAAAAAAACAATACTCTTGATTTTGGATTGGGGGAGTTTATTTGAAATTGAGAAAACGGAGGAATTAAATAATTAAAAACTTTGTTGAGAGTGTGAGGATGTAGTGGATATAATAATGTTTGAAAACCCAGAAAGGGATGAATTTGATCCAGTCTATGATGAATCCCAAATGGAATTAAATGATGGTACATTTAATTAATAATTGATTTCAATTCAATTTAAATTTGTCATTAATTCAAGAATGATTTTATAAACAGATATTGAAGAAGAAACTGAATTATTAATTGGTAAGATTGGTAAGAAAAATACTGATATTTTATCTATTTGTCCAATAATGAGTTTCGATTCAGAAAAAAGCTCAAACATAGCTTGTACTAACAAGAGTTATCGAAGTTTGAGGTAAACTCTGAAATTATTAATGAAGTAGATGGAAGAAGACTAGAAATACTTGGTGTGTGTGAAATGCATTTTCACATAGATCAAAATTCTAAGATGCATTCACCAGGTATCAAGCAGCACAGGCTTATTGATTTAGCTTATTTTGCTATAAAGATTTAAAGTTTATTCAAGAGGGAAGAGTTGTCATGAACATTGAAGATGCTTGGAAAATAATAGGTAAAAATATATTAACATCTTGTGCATGACAATATAAATGCCTTTCACTTACTAATGATGTTTCATTGAGTGAGAAAATCGGAATCGTTTATCTTTCTTCTAGACCTCATTATATTTGCCAAAAGTGTTACCAGAAAATGGTGGTCACGTGTATATTCAGAAGAAGCTTTAAAAAAAATAGGCAACCAGATCATTGATGTTGCAAATTCAGGTGATTCTACTGCAAAAAAATGTCTTTTATCAAACTTAACGTATTTTTTAACAGCTGATTGAAAGAAAGATCACAAAGATTCATTTGAAAAAATAGTAAATTTATCAAGTAAATTAATTCTTAATCAATACAATTTAAATTTTGAAGGTGCAGATAATAAGAAAAACAAAATTACGAATCAAATCTCTTAATTATGGACATTCAATTCAAGTAATAATAGTTTATTTCAAGAAATTTTATCTACTAATAAAAAAATGCTCTTCTATTCAATATGCAGAATCTAACACTGACAGTCCAAAAAGACAAAGAAAAATCACTACACTTGATGAACATAATATACTCAACACTCTTGTTGAAAAACCAACGAAAGTCAAATTATAGATGCTATAAGAAGAACAGGGTGGGAAAGTAAAAAATTAGTTGATTACATATATCAACATAAAAAAAGAAAAAAGAGTTTTAATATTATCTTTTATTATATACGTATTTAATAAAAATACATTGATTCAAAGTAAACTTGAAATTTTTCGAATGATATAACATTTCTATTGATAATGAATGTTGTTGATACAAACAAGTAAAATCCTATTGTTGTATTAAAAACCTTATAATTCTATTATTCGAAGAATAATCTCAGAATTACCTTCTCAAAAGGTGTTGTATTCGCTTAAGTATAAGTTTGTAAATATAAGACATAGGATAATAAAATGCATATTTTTACGTTCCTTAACATTTCAAGAAGAAAATTTGTTATGGGAATAAAAATAATAATTGTAAAAATTAAAAGTTATATTTGAAGATTTGAACTCTTTCATAACGTTACACATGCAATTGCAGCAGATACAAAATGATCACTGACTGATACGTGAAAGTTAATTGCAATATTAATATTTATATCTGTATACTAATATATCTACATGAAATATTATTATTAGAAAACATTGTAAATTCGAAACTCTATCATTAAAACAGAATAGAATGATTTCTTAAAATATTTTATTCTAGAGTTAGCATTAGATTTCTATTTTAATTCTAAGAATTTTCATTTTTTTTTCTGTATGTGCTAAATTTCCATCATATAATTTGTAAGTCATAGCAAACTAGAATAAACGAATAATAATAGTAATAATATAAATAGGCATGAGCATTTGGTGGTTTATTATTTTAAAATGCTATAATTTTGATAAAATTTAAATTTTCAAAAACCTACAAAGTGAACATAAAATTTATATATAGGGATAAGTGTATATGAAAAGTAATAATAACAAAATTAACAAGCATAATGGTTCTAATGAATATAAAAAAGCAATTGATTTTTTAGAAAAGGAATGTAATTGTGGTTGTTCTTCAAGAATTTCCAGGGAACAATTTGCAGAATTAAGGGAATCCTTTCAAGCTCTTTCTAAATCAGAACAAGACACATTTTTAATGGCACAACTTAGGGCAATGAATGGTGGATTAACAAGCAGTAGTAGATGCCTTAAAAAGAAAACTAGGTCTAATAAAAGAACTTTCTATCATTGGGATCACAATACACTTCTTTGTCAAGAAACTTACCTCAATATGTTGGGGAT